AAACCTACACGTATAGATGTCTTTTAGTCCCATCTTCAATAGGAGAATGTTTAGATAATTTAAGTTTAGATCTATTTATACCCAGGATTTTGCCAACATTTTTGTTGTCAATTAAAATGAGTTCAATGAGTATGTTATATATATGAACTTTGTCCATGCCTTTACAAACAATTTGTATATATTGTTTCTACATGCGTTACAAGTGGATATAGTCGTCCATTACCAAGGTAAGATATCAAGACGCTATTAAGATAAGGTAATTGTAATCTATTTAATTACAGCTGAATCTCTTATAACCAGTTATTCATATAAGTGTTACTTCTTTCCTCGTAACTAAATTGGATATGAACCTCCGGTAGCTTCGAATAAACTTGGAATTCGTGGTCCTCTCTTATTTGCCCTCTCTTATTAAATTTCATATCAGTTGCTAGCTCTCTTTTCACATTTTACATAAAATAAAGAGAGTCAAATTTTTCTCTAATTGGAATTTAAAAAAAAGTTTTATCCTTGTCAACTTTTTTTATTGTCCAGACATCTATGCCGTATATTACCAATGAAGTTATGAGCAATATTCTTGTGTTAGTTATTAAACTTTTTTGTGTTATTTATTAGTTTAGATGTATTACATTAATTTACCTGATCCTCTTCATTCTCTCAAGCAAGTTTCTAGGTTTTACAAGCATGGATGCTTCATCATTGATATGGGAAGCAACCTGTTCCATATATAATTTGGAATCACTTTTTTTTCCCTCGACTAATAGAACTTTTAGCTCCACGCGGACATCTAATGTTCGCCAGAACGACGGTTAGGGAGATCAACATGATAAGATAGAAGGGAGTTATTTTAACGAAGTTATTAATTAAATTCCGCACAGTATTTGCTATTAGCGGCGTACTACTTAGGGGATCCACTTAGGCCTATTGGCCCATTGTGTTACCATATATGTAGAAAAAGTCAGCGTTCAAAATCACTTAGAACCTTTAGGGAAGTTTAAAATGCTGTTTAGTGTTAGGTTTTGTAATATATTAAAATCATCAAGAAAGGGGGCTCTTAAAGGGTGAGTCGCCACCAAGCTTGAGCTGAGGTAAGACTGAGCTGAGCTGAGCTAAGTCATATTTACTACTAAGTCATTCACTTAACAATTTTTGAATTCTAATTACAATTACTATATATGATTGTCTGCAAATATGCATGGAGCTACGGGCTTCTCCAGTTTTTCGTCAATTTTGTAATTCCAACATTTTTAGACTTTTTTATGAGTGAGATGGAAAACTCAAGTTTCCAATATAATAATTATCAAATATATGGTGAGGTAACCAATTGCACTTTTCAATGAGTTTCACTTGCTAAATAGTAGTGCTGTTCATATTCGAATTTACGAAGTATTCGAAGACTTCGAATATTCGAATAGTAAACGAAGTCTTCGAAGTTGGAAAAACTTCGAAGTTTTTGTGAATTTTTGTTCTCGAAGTCTTCGAAGTTTAAGTGTAGTGAAAAACTTCGAAGAATTCTATGCAGAAAATTAAAAACATGTTTTTTTGTTTTATTTTATTACATTAAATTTATTTTATTATTAATATTAAATAAAAAATTTACATTTTAAATAACTTATATATATTATTTATATATAAAAAATCATATTTGAGAAAATTTTTAATATAATATAAAATACATGAAAATTTGATGAAATTAATATATTGTTTTTGTTATATTATTTGTAATGGAAATTTAAATTAATTTTCAAATTAAAACTTTTATGAAAAAAAACAAATTACATTAAAAATTGATCATTAGACAGAAATGCTTTATTGTGATATACAAAAAGGTTTGCTTCCATATATACTGGGGCAAGACAACTGCGATGAGGAGTTACAATATTTCCTGCCGTTGAAAATACTCTTTCTGATGCTACAGATGTTGCAGGTATGCAGAGATATTTAATTATGCATTAATGAGCAAAACTCATTTTTTCATAACTAATTTTCAATGTTTTAATTTGTGATTTTCTTTTTAAAGGAAAATGAAAATTTTTATAAAATTTCCATTACTAATAAAATCCGTGAATATCAATATTTTCATATTATTACGTAGATATTTTATATTATATTAAATATTTTCTCAAATATGATTTTTTAAATATAAATAATAAATATAAATAAGTTGTTTAAAATGTGAATTTTTTATTTAATATAAAAAATATTTAATAATAACATATTTAATAATAATATATATTATAATACATATTTAATAATAAAATAAATTTTGTGTAATAAAATAAAACAAAAAAACATGTTTTTAATTTTCTGCATAGAATACCAAAAAAAAAAACATAAAACCGTACAAACAAAGCAAACGCTTTCATCCCTCAAATAATTTGTGTGATGCACGTTTGTTTGCATTTTGCGCTCTCACTTCACCTTTTGCTTACGAAGTCTTCGAAGTTTTTCACTACATTTAAACTTCGAAGACTTCGAGAACAAAAATTCACAAAAACTTCGAAGTTTTTTCCAACTTCGAAGACTTCGTTGAAATGCGAATATTCGAATATTCGAAGAACTTCGAATTTTTAAAAACTTCGAATAATGTGAACAGCACTAGTTCGTAACGTTCAATTGTGTTTTTAACGAATACACGAGTTCCACCACATCGTTTACGGTTGGGATGTTAAGTATCGTAAAATGTGTGTCAATTAATTCGAAAACAGTTTTCAAGAAACAGATAAATGAGAAATGTCTAGTATTTGTGGGCTTATTCATTTAGATTTTACAAACCTAGCAATTAGACTTTAATTATAGATTATTTTTCGCATCAGACTTTTCATTAGCTTTTGTAGGAGTTCTATGAAATGTTTAATTTTTTGAGTAAAAGATGTAAGCATTGCTTCAGACCCTGAACATAAACTAGAATTCTTGGTAAGAACTGAAATTTGCATATATGAACCGATATGAACAAATTCATATTATTAGTATTTTTACTTGACTTATTACTGGTAATGATTAATGACTGATGATCGTTGATGAAAACAATTAGTAGATTTCTTACGATAAATTAAACTCTTTTAATGTTACGAAAATATACGTTTAAACTCTTTTAAAATGTTACGAAAATATACGTTTAGCTATATTTTAAATAAATTATATGCATACAGAATATTTTAATTTAGAAAAAGTTGTTTTTTACTTACAGAAATGATGGTGTGCTATAACAAAAGTGATATAAATCATTACAAATATCTATTCATGAAATTTTTTTATAAATTTTACCTATGATTATATCGTTTCAGTTTTTGTAAACCATATTTACTATCCATTGTGCCCTTCGAAACAGGTAAAGATTCCAAATTAGCCATAAGTAAATTAATTGATGACTTAAGCTCTTCCACGTAAAGAGACTCCATTTCTTTTAAGACAAACTTAGGCATGAGTTTACGATTTTTTTCCATTTCACTAACCCTTTGCATTCGACCATCTAATTCACGCCTAATTGCTGCCGCTTGCTCATCCGCAGAATCTAACTAAATATAAAAAATTAATTAAATCTTGGTTATTATTAAACACTATTGTGAAAAACATTTATTTTCAAAAAATATGTACAATTGAAGATAAGTTTAATTAAAAGTAGTAAGGGTACTCATCTAAGCAAATAAATTTATCAAATGTATAATTTTATGCGTTTACGTACATGATTATACCATATAAACGCACTTAGTAAAACATTTGTGTAAATTTATCAATCTGCTGTATGATAGCACTATTTATATTAGCAATAACTATGACAGCACAAAATGCAATGCCCAGCAGCGCAATTTTTTCAACCAAACTTTTAGCCAATATCTTTGCAATGTTAAATATTTGTGTAAATTTCATCGATCAACTGTGTCGTTATCAATAAATTATAAAATAAAATGTCGCAGTGCAAACTTTCTGTGATTCTTATCCTCAAATTTTATAATGTATCCACATGTGGCTTCACCTACACCTAAATTTAAGAATAGGTGTGCCACTGTTACTCGATTTGTTGATAATTTCTCATTATTTAGTTATACAACTGTGACTACTCAAAATTTTTATATCAATACAATAGTAGTAGTCCATATGTAACAGCAGCTTATTTTCTCTGGATTTAATCCAAGTAAAAGTATGTCTATCATCTTAACTTAAGATGATAGATTGTGCCATTCATCAACCTGTGACAAATCTTAAATTCTGTTTAGTCAGTTTGCAATAAATGTACGTTATAAAATTGCTGACGATTTGACCCATGATATAACACTTTCGGAATCACACCAATAAAATGCAGGTATGTCCTGATATGTGAGATCCTGGCTTACTTTATATGTTATTTCTATAACGCTGCGCAAAATGTAGTTGGGAAAGAATTTGTTTTTTCATAAGGCTATTCTGAATTTTACTTAAAGCTTATGGTTTTTCCTTGTCATACGCTTTTTTGGGGCATCGAAAGGCATATGCATTTGAGTAGTATCTGACACATGAACGATAAAAACTTATATATTCACCTTTAATGTGTTCATTGTGAACAGATCAGTTTTAAACTTCCTCTTCTAGTTAAGTTGCAAGGGGTAATTCCATATTTCAATTATATTTACGTATAATACTAAAATGTCTGCTCTGTACTCAATCCTTTTCAATCAGGTGTTTCAAAAGGCTTGTATAGAGTTCTTGGCATCAGTTATGGAACACCTAGTTATACATTTGCATACGGTCGTCTTAGCTTCTAATAATATACTAGACCTCAGGCAGCTATGTGAGCCAATGTTACATATTGGCTCATATAACTGAATAATTAAGTATATGTAGAATAAAAAAAAAATAATGAAAGAATAAATTATACACTACAGCCAGTACAACCAGGATACCACTGACTATCAAAAACACATCAAACAATTAAAACTGATAATAAAGCCAATTAACTTGGAATAAGCATTGATTCAAACGGTAATATTTAAATATACCACATTTACTGCTAACAAAAAAGAATTCCGCAAACAATAAATTTTATAGAAGGTATTAAGTAAGAGATCCAAACTATCCACTAATCGTAACTCATCACTTTTGCTATATTTGGGTAAGTATCTTATCTCATACGCCCAATAACTACATTTTGGTTGTGATAGTTAACTGTATTTCAAAAAACAGTATAATAGATGAAAGAATAAAATTTAGATCGTGGGTGTAATCTCTCACAATAATTAACCCGGTGCTTCATCGCAATATTATTTCCTAATGGCTGTCGTTTTATGAGGACAACTGAAGTTTAAAAATTTTAATATTTTGAATACTAAAGATATTTTCTACTAAATGTACTTAGTGATAAAAAAGTCAGGGCAGAGAAAGGGTTGGCCAGATGATAGTTATACACATTATATGTTAACTCAGATATAATTAACATATGCATATGTTTCAAAATGAAATAAAAATTAGTTGATATTGTACTCTATTTATTTTTTCAAGATTGTTTTATTCGAGGAATAAGACAAAGTTTCCAAAGCATAAAAACAAATCACTCCAGCATGATTAAGTGGAAGAGTCGTTTTTGCCGCTTAAAATATCAATAAACATGATTTTGAACAACATCACTCAAGAAACTTGATGAAGTAGTGAAAAACAAATATATTAACTTCATAGTAAGCTAACTATTACAAGTACTAAGTTTTTAGTAGAATTTTACTCTATAATCCCGAATCACTGTCACATAATTTGAATTTAAAAACTGTAAATTACCTATATTACTCTATAACATCAATCTGCCAAAGTTACGCAATGATGCACGATTAGATTAGAATCAGAAATCCATCCATTATTTAAGTTTCTTCAGAAATTTGAGAAACAAAAACTGTATTGCCTTCACTAACTAACCAAATAAAAAGGGAATTTAAATAAAAAACTTCTATATATTTCCTTATTCGACATAGCCGCAGCAAAGAAAAGTAGAGTATTAAATCGGCTAGATAAAATAGAGTGGCTAGATTTATCTGGGTAAATACTATATAAATAAATATAAAACGAAAAAATAATGGATTCTTAAATATCAACATAAATAATATGTTTATTATTACTTCTTCTAGTTCTGCATTTTTAGCCTCCTCACTTGTGTCAATGAGTAGAAGGAGTGGGTACTTAAAATTATTTATGGTTAAGTTGTTTTCCATCTAATCGATGTGGCCCTTGATTAACCAACTAGTTTTATTAATTGTACAAGATTTTTGGCTAATATAATCGCTTTTATAGAAGCCGTTTCTTCCTATATACTTAGATCACTTTAACCAGAAAAGTCACAAATGTCTATTAAGAGAAGAGTAGAACAAAATCTTGGCTCCCACTGTAATTAACGCATCCATTTACAAAATAATAGGCTTAATAGGATCAAACAAATCCAAGAGTCTTGGATACGTAATTGTCTCTAACTTTTTTGATTTAATTAATATGGTACAACAAAATTATCCAAATTACCATTCGAAATTATTGAGCCAACTCCGATAACAGATTGCTTACTCTCTTACATAATGTTCTAATTATTAAGATAATGCCCTACAGGTATTAAATAATAATTTTAATATTTATTACAAAATGCGATATGACTAAACAACATTAGTTTTGTTTCAGCAAACAATGATCTGGGTCTTCTTGGCCGAAATGGTATGAATCACAAATAAAAGCAATTGATAACGCTTCAAATTCGTTAACTTTTTATTTTTATTTTTTTTTTTTTATTTGTTTTCAAAATGTTGCTTTACTGTGTGGCGGCAATATAACAACTCTGTCCATACATGTCAACGTCAAAAGACAGACAATCAGCTGTTAACAGAAAAAGGTTGAGTATATAGAGAAAACCGAAAACCGACGCATCAATATTAGAGCCAGCAGTATTATAAATTTGTGTAAATTAGTGTTGCTTAATAATAAATCTTTTAAGTTTAAAATCAAGTCACAAGCGTTTACATAAACACATGTCTACAACTGTTTTACTTGCGACTTCAGTTTTTCATTCGTTGTTTGCTTTTTATACTAACTATACTGTATCTTATAAGAAGTCGCATTGTCAACGATATGTTGCATTAATTGCGTTCTACTTATGTTTTCTATATTTATTCGACATTGAACTAGAATTTGAACTATATTAATTCCTAGTTCATCACAGTGTTACTGTTTCCCGTGTTACTTGCTCAGATCATCGTTTGCTAAAACAGAGCTATTATTAAACTCACCATTAATGCGTTAAATAATATTTGGTGTTCAAACTTTTTCACACTTAATATTTGTTGGAACATATCATATAACTGCTCTTTTGATAAAATTAACTCGCTATTGAGTGATTGTTGCATGCGCGATGGGCGTTTAGTGTCCTCCTCACCACTTCCTTTTAATATTATATCAAATTTTGCCATCCAAGATGTCAAAACTGTTTCTTTACTTAACCCATCAATTTCGGGTAACGATCTAAAATATAAAATAAGAGAAATAAATAATCTAATATTTAGGGTTTTTTAATTACCTGACGCGTTTTTCAATATTATTTCGAAACACTTCCCGGAAATCATGTTGGGAACATGCGCCTGATTGAACCATTTTTTCTACTCTTTCAGATTTCAAAAAAACATCGTGATAACTTTGAACAGCGTTTTGAAATGCTTCATCCGCCATTATTTGAGTTTCGCCTTTCATAAAAGCCTATAATATAAGCCATAAGTTATGTTGTTGGCATAAGTGATACAGGAATGTTAGACAACCAACTTACTTGAAATCGTTGAGTAATTGCTTCAAGTTGCTGCTTCCCAATTTTCGGTTGTCGTTTTGTCATATCTGTTGGTTGCTTTGCATTAAAAGGATAAGATATGCAGCGCGAAACAAATACGTACAATTGTATACGATGTTTTCTTTCCTCCTCTTCTCTTTCGTGCTTTTCCTATAAATTTATAATTAAATATTTTATAAGATATAGAAACATTTCTATAACAATGTTATTGCCAAGACATATGTGGGTACGGAGACCCACAAAGCAAAGCATTTTAAAGATATTTAGGATATAAAAATTAATAAACCCGTATTATTTGAATATTTATTAAAAACATATATTTTATTAAACACTGGTACAAAAATTCTTGGGTCGTATAAAATATGTAAGAAATTGAATTGATTTACTTTCTTATAAATTATGAAATTATAGATCTGAAGAGTAACTTGTATAGTATCCTTGAATGAGGATGGTATTAAAAACTGTAACGACACGGATACATTGTTTGATTTTGTTGAGGTATCACTCAGTCGCGGTCCAGGTCGTTGCAATAAATTTGTGTTATTGACTAGTTCAAGAACTAGTAAAAGACCAAGTAAAGGGTTGCAATAGTTTGTAGCCAATGGCATCAAAATGCCGTGCGACGTTATAAACTATAAAAATGCAATGATCCTAGCCTATGGCATCAAAATGCCAGTGACGTTATAAACTACTGGTCTACAAATTAATCTAGCTATAGTATCAGAATACTACTGGCGTGAAATTTCCCTGGCGTCTTAGCAAACGACTAAGATATCTTTCATATGTATTCGGCGTCTATTTATATAAAAAAGTACTTAAGAGTACTTTCGTTCATTGCACGCACATCCACACAAGTGTAACTCTATAACTCCAATTATGTTAAAAAAATCTGCCCTTCGTAGCAATCTCATTCATTACAAAGATTTTTAACGCCATAATAAAATTTGGACATATTCCGACGGAATGGAAAAAAGCGTTAATGTTTCAAAAGCCCGGAAAAAATGCAAAACTAGCCGCATCATATAGACCTATAAGTTTGCTGCCTTGTCTGTCACAATTATTTGAGAAAGTGTTCCTTGCAAAACTTATGCCTTTTCTCCATGAAAGAGACTTGATCCCAAGTCATCAATTTGGATTTCGTCAAAAACATGGTACTATCGAACAAGTGAACAGAGTAACTAACGAAATAAGAAGTGCTTTTGAAAATCGAGAATATTGCTCTGGTGTTTTTTTAGATGTTGCACAAGCGTTCGACAAAGTATGGCATGATACACAAAATACGACAAATACTCCCGCAAAACTCACACGCAGTACTTCAATCATACTTGCTAGGCAGATCTTTTAATGTAAAGTACAATATGCACACAACTAATGACTTTCCAATAAGTGCAGAAGTTCCACAAGGCAGCGTTCTTGGTCCATTATTGTACCTCATCATTACTTCAGATATCCCTACAAATACCAATTTAGTAATATCAACGTACCGCTATTTTGTGCCGACATAAGAATGCCGCAATCGCTTCCAGTCAACTGCAAAATCATTTGTACTCTATTGAAAGCTGGCGATTATCACTATGGCGAATTAAAGTCAATGAGCAAAAATGTCGTCATATAATATTCTCTCTTAACAGATCCTCATCACCAACTATCACTCTTAACTAAATAGTAGTTCCGCAAACAGAAACAGTGACGTACCTTGGTATTCACCTTGACAAACGCTTAACTTGGCGGAAGCATATTGAAACAAAAAGGACTTAAATGAATCTCAAAGCTTTATGCCTTCGCAGGCTAATCGGTCATCAGTCTCCCTTATGTTTAGAGTACAAAGTCTTGTTATGCAACTAAATCATTAATCCAATCTAGATGTATGGCTTACAGCTATATGACAATACCTGTTCGTCAAATGTAGAAATCCTGCAAAGAGCTCAAGCAAAGATCTTAAGAATGATAACTGGTGCATCCTGCTATATCAGAAATGAAAACATACATTTCGATTTAAGAATTCCGATGGTTAAAGGCGAATTCGAGAGAATAAGGCAGAAACATATTTCAAATCTTGAAAACCATGTGAATCCGCTGGCTAATATGACAACTTTCTCTAGACTAAAATGGAACAATAGACCCGCCATCCTACTTTCCCAATGATCATCCTGAGTAATTCAATTTATACACCGTGACATCTGGTAAATAAGCCCTGGCTACGTTTAAAAGTTGATGCATTTCTTACTTAAATTGTTAAATTGCCTTACGAAGTAATGGCTCTGCCTCAAGCATCAACCTTTTCTTGAAGCTTGGCTTGTTTTGTGGGGGCTGTGCGTGGTGGTGTTCGCTACTACGTTGAAAAACTGTTGGTGGTTTTTAATATTTATATTTTTCTGTTTTCTGTTAAAAATTAATATTAACTACTAAATAAAGGAAATATATAAATAATGAATAAACTATGAAATTATTATTCATATATTATTATTATTATTATTATTATTATTATTATTATTATTATTTAAATATATTTCTTTATTTATTGAAATTATAAATCAGAGTTATAAGTTTATGTATGGCGGAAATCTGTACAAAATTCCGGCCTTACAAAACTAACCAAATTCTCTTCTATGGTAGTTCAATATTTTCGAGTTAATTCATTATGTACTGGCGTCTTTTTGGATTAATCTCAATGACACCCTTTATTTCAACTTTACAAAAATTTTCCCTAAAGGGAAAAGAAAATAGTTTGGTGTCGGAAGGAAATCAAATACCCGTAGATTTAGTTGAAACACTTTTGTTAGATATTGTTTTTATTTATCATTTCGAACTCATGTCCCACCTAGGTTTAGTATTAGACTATTATTTTGAATCGGAGTCTTAAATATTTTTGCATTTCAAAATATATTACATTTTTAAGGGTCCAATACTTTTTCAAAGTTTTTTTTTGTTTTCTGAAAGTAACTAAACTAGAGTTCATTAGGGGAAATTACTCAAATCCCATAAGGTGTACTTGAGTTTGTAATCTAATTTATAATTTTCAGTTGCCAAAAATATAGAGTCATCAAATCAGCAAATTTTAAGAATTGTACAGTAGAAATACTAGGCCTCGAAAGACAATATTCAACAAAAATTATGAATGTATTCGGTCCTGAGGTATGCAAATAAATACAACTTGCAGCTGACTTTCGCAAAATTCCTCTATTTTTATGAGGTTTTCCATTAAATCATTACATTATATTAACTTGAATTTTAATTATTGGGACAGAAATGCGTTTTTTTTCCAGAAATCTTTTCCAAAAGAACTAGCGTACGCTATGCTGCAGTACTTAGCACATTGTGCATGTTTGAATATTATTTCTTGTTGAGTGTGCATGAATATTGTTTATTTAGTACAAAATGATGTCTCCATCGTATCCGACTAATTGAATTTGCCAAAAGTTTGAAAACCCGTTTAATCTGAACCATTAATTGGAATACGAACAACATGAAATGTGAGAAAATTATTGTTGCAGATAATTGTAATGCTAAATTTAGGCCTTTAAAACATGGGTGTTGTATTTTTGTTGCGCTAAGAGAGTATTATGAAATAATTAAGAAACATAATTTTTAGTACGTTTTGGCTTAAAAGTTAAAATGGTTCTGTATCATAAATAGGTGTAAAAGAGCATAATTGGTTTGAACTTACACCAATAAAACTATATTACGGTGTCACGATGCACTGGTTATTGGGTTACGTGGTAATAAAATTAAAAATAATCCCTGTACACCGTGTACACGCTTTTACGTAGATATAGTACCATATATTTACATTGTCTTATTTAGGCGATTATAATCACTAATGAGCATGATTTGCTATGTAAAGAGCTTTCATACATATCAGCTCATTTACAATAAATGAGCTCATTTTAGACCAAAAATGTTGAACTTAACTCTTAAAAATAAACTGCCGAGTTTATTTACAGTCGATCAAAAACAACAACGTATTGATGATTCAAAGCAGTGTTTGGCATTGTTGGCCACGTAATAAATCAGATTTTTACAACGTTATGTGACAATGGATGAAACATGGATCCATCACTTCACTCCGGAATCAAAACGATCATCATCTGAGTGCACTGTAGCCGGTGAACCACGTCTGAAGCGTCTAAAGGCAAAACAGTCAGCTGGGAAGGTTATGGCTTCAGTATTTTGGGATGCACATGGAATAATCTTCATTGATTATCTCGAAAAGGGAAAAACCATCAATTGTAACTACTACGCAGCATTACTGGATCGTTAGAAAGCAGAAATTGTGAAAAAACGATCGCATATGGTGAAAAAGAAAATTTTGTTTCACTAAGACAATGCACCATGTCACAAGTCAATAAAAACGATGGCATAATTGCACGAATTACACTTCGAATTGTTTTCTCATCCACCGTATAGTCCAGATCTGGACCCAGCGATTACTGGCTATTCGCTGATCTCAAAAAAATGCTCGCCGGTAAGAAATTTGTATCGAATGAAGAAGTAATTGCTGAAACTAAAGCCTATTTTGAGGTAAAAGACAAATCCTTCTACAAGCATGGCATCGAGAAGTTAGAGAAGCGTTGGAATGATTGTATTGCCATTGAAGGAGATTATATTGATGAGTAAAATCGGGTTTTGGTAGAATAAATTGGTTTTTCTTATTTAGTCACACAACTTATTGAGTAGTATGTTATAATAGCATAATATGTTATGCACAGGCACTAACTGTGGATATATCTATTAATTTTTATTAGAAAGATGCGATAAATACTTATATAATTGTACTAAAAAATATATTGTACGTGATGGAAAATAGTACCTTCAAAAATGGACACTGTTGTAAAGCACACGAAACATAAAAATAATTTAAAGCAATAATTGTCACTATACATTTAAATTTTGTTGTTTAGTGGATCTACCCACATGACCTAGGGATCATAACTTTGTAATATTATTACAATGTGTTATAGGTACAAACTTTTAAAACAAAATATGTAATAATCTTCAGTTCGTAGACATAATCTTAGAACTGAAATATTTGAACATAGTTATATCTAAAACTGCTACTTACATGCATATCTCCATCATTTCTATCGCTGGCAGTTGATGGTGAAGGTGATGTCGGCCTGGGTAAAGAGTTGGTACGAGATGAACCCACACTCTGAACAAGAGTCTCTTGAGATGGACCGCTAGATGGCGACAGCAATGTTTGATTTGAAATTTGATTATTATTATTGCTATTGGCTACTTTTTGAAATTGTGCAGATAATACTGTCGCATTGCTGCTACCATTACCACTAACACTTCCTCGGGATTTGTTTCCTTCAATTAAGTCGCTATTATAATAAATATTAGCAATTGGTGTTGCTGGGCATTTTGTTTTAGTGTTATTGGCAAAAGCAGCAGCAGAAGCAGCAGGACTATATAATCTTCTATTCAAACTCGTTAAGTCGTCTTTTTGTAGTTGACTTTTGTTAACGTTTTTTTCATGAAACTTATTATGATGATTTTGTTGCGATAGCATATTATTAGTTGGTTGCAGATGTTGTATAAAAAAGCTATTTTTGTGATGATTTTGATGAATGTTTATTTGAGATTTTAAATTAGAATTGTAAAATCTACATAATAAATAAATCACAATCACATAATGTGCTCAAAGTTTATTAATTTATTTAAAATTTATTCAGCCATTGTTAATAAGCCAATTATTTAAAAGCCAATTTCAAAAAATATAATATATGTAACCAATTTCCTCATTCAGTGCGAAGATTTATGATTAAATGATATGAAACGCGTTCGATATACAAAATCCACAACGTGTCAAATATAATTGTCAAACAAATTTCCAAATTGTTAAAGTAACGTTTTTGTCATAATTTTGATGTGTTGTGATTGTGGTGGTAGTTAATGTTGATGTTGGTGATGGCATTCATATTCACCAAATTTAAATTTGAAAATAAAAAGCAAAGAAATGCATTACTATTAATTGAAAAAATATGTATAAGCAAAAACATCAATTATAATTGAAAAACTGCTATTTTTCGATAATAATTCACAAGAAAACATATGTAAACGGATACGATGTGCTACGGCATGCTAAATATCGTAGCTTTGAGATGTATACGCGAATGAACACGCTCAAATAGAAGCGATCCGACACACTATAATATACTTAATTCTAGATACACTTCAAATGGTGTTAATTGAGTTAAGTACTATTATCCTTTATAAAAACTAATCCGTTTAATATCCAATAAAATGTTACACTCATTAATACCAAAGAATACTCAAAAATGTAAGCCTTTCTTAAATTTATATATATATATATATATATATATATATATATAA